TACCTTGTCAAGCTGTCGAAGAAGGGCGACTTACGCCCCACTCTGCAAGAACTGGTGTGGAAGAATGCTCTTGTCCACGCCTAGTAGAATACTGAGTCGCATCATCCTGGAGAGAAATAGGATCCCCTGGATGTGCGTCAGAGTGTGAGTAGGGGGTAGGGAGGAGGGAGACAGGAATACGCTGGACCACCGATGAGAAGACTCTAGAAGAACTGGATTTCTCACGTGGATGATATGTGTCTAATGTTTTGCAAACTCGAAGACTTACAGGTAGGTGAAAAACAACAAACTCACAGAAGAGACTGGCTAGCAGCGTGAACATAGACAAGATGGAAGTGATGAAGATAAGCTAACAACAGCAACAACAACAACTACAACAGTGACCAGCACCAATCACCATCAACGGGAGAGATTTAACAGAGGTCAATTCCTTCACTTATCCAGCCAGGAAGCATCGTTTCAACTACAGCCACGCCGAACGGATGGCAATGTCAAAAACAGCCAGCCAGCCAGAAACGGGAAAGCGAAATACGTACGCCTTCAATAACCTGAAACCAGTTTTAAATCTTCTGCTGTCACTTAACCAGTAGAAAGAACAAGATTCGGATTTTCAACAGCAATGTCAGGTCAGCTAGTCCTTCTATACTGGTAAGGAACTTGGCCGGCGTGTCCCGAAAAGGATTTCCAACAGGTTGCAGCCTTTCATCAACAGCTGCCTACTTCGCATCCTCCATAGTGAAGATGAAATGGCCGGCAGGCCAGAAAGAATTAGTCACGAGAACCTCTGGCTATCTATCACTCAATCTATCACTCCGATCATCTATCACTCAATGAGGATTTATGAGTTGCTGGAACTCCATCTCCCAACCCAACCCAAAATAAATAATATAGGATATAACATAGACGAATTATCACGTCAAGTCAGTAACATGTATGACTGAGTGATTTACACCTTGGATCGAAGCATTTCTACTAACTGTCAACAGAGTATACATGAATTTTGCCGGAGCAGTACAAATCAGCCCCGGCCGACACACTCCTTTTCCTCGCTGAGACAGAAATAATGCTGGTAAAGAGGAAAGGTTGGACATGAGGCTAGCAACCCCATTCTGTAAAATAAACACTGCTACAGAATCTTCAAGCCACTAGCTTGAAGCCCTGTGTTCCACTGGGGAACATGAAGGAAAAAAAGTACAAATAAAGCTTCTTCATACTGCAGAAGTCATAACAATCCAGTAATCTGCTGTTACACTTCTTCCCCTAAGGACACTTATCTTAACCTGATTCTGTTTCACTTTTAGTTGAGCTCCTCTATTCACTACTGTCAATCACATTACGTTCACGAAATTTACTTATTAGATTTCATTTTAGTTTCTACCAAATGAAGCCAGTCTGTATTGTGTGTTTGTTATCCTCTAGAACTTACAGTTTTAATGACACATTTTAGAAAACTCCTTTTATTGTTATGAAAGTGCACTACATGTGCATATATATGATAAGGCATATAATGTCGTTGAAAAATATAATACTATTGGCTTTAGTCTAAACAGTACTTTCGATATATTGTGGAACTGTCAGCATGTAATGCAGTATTGCATCTCTTTTTCTCTTTATACAACATTACATAGCAAGGAGAGAAAATCATTGACAAAAGCATTTGCAATAATAATAATGTTTGATGAGAATTAGAAGGTTAATAGAAATAATGACAACAATCTACTAATGATTGAAAGCACAAAAAGGTTTGTTTACTTATTACTTTGAAGTGAGTTATTGGTTTCATGTCTAACACTTCTCATCACACAAAATGTATCCCGGACAAATAAGATATTGCAGAGAATTTATGTTTAGTCATCCGAGCATAAAGTCGCCGATATTTGCTTCTAGTCTTACCCATCCGATGAGGCGCTAATGGGCTGAGTTGCGTCTATAAAGAGAATATTCAGAATCCGTACGACAAGCTGATGTTCTCCAACTGTCTACCTACAACAGTAATAACAAGTTGGTTCAGTGGTAACCCACTCGCTCTACCAGCAGGTCTCAATGCCCTTCTGAATAGATCAAAGTTATTTTTAAGTAACCCAGAAAAGAAGAAGAATGCGGAGGAGTAGTAGAGAAATACAGGTGAACCGCTACAACAGCTAACAAACTTTGTAATTAAAATTTGTGACTGACTTCGCTGAATACCTCTTCTTTCACGACAGTGGCTGCAAGACAAATTTGCCTGCCTGGAGTTCTACTCAGACGTCATGACTAGTGGGGGACAATCAGATCGAGTGTATTGACATTGGCTTCTGGTCTGTAGAATTCGTAGGCCACTGGATCGGGTACTGGTAGCCGGGTGGTTTATTAGCCTTCCCTGTGACCGGAAGATCCTGGGTTCAAACTGGTTCAAACCTGGTAGGTGTGTACCGCAAAACAGCCCCAAACTACAACGAAACAGCAGTCCACTACTCCTTGGTTTCCAATGGTCCTCTAACTGATATTAATCCGTGATCAAACTTAAGGTACTACTGTTGAATATTTTTGTTTTGTTTTTTATCAGCCATAAAATGGAATCAAAACATCAATCAATTGACTTACACTTGTATGACAGTGTTGACAAATCGTCCTACACTTAAGTATTTCAGCATGCACTGATGTGTGTGCAAGTCGACTTAATTCATACCATGTGATTGGTAGATCTATTGAATTGGCATAATAGTATAACTGAGGAATAGAATTGATATCATTTTAATTGTTAGTCGATAATATATTAGTCCATTGGAATAATTGGATGAACCTGGCGATATTTTCATAATAGAACCTTACACTCCCTTTGACTTGCTTTCCTTTTAAATAGACTTAATCTATGAATACTTTTGAAGTCTGAAGAGAGATAGAAACAGAATGAATAACTTCAACAGTATTTTGATTATAATTTATTATCAGTGTTATATGCCTCAAGTGTCTCCAATAGTACATCTTCATTACGACAAGTTACTGTACCTGCACCAGCTATGACTCCGATAAATGTAGTTTCCTCATTCACCAATATTCGCCTAAAACCATCTATGTGCTACTTGAGTGAATTTATCTGCTCAAATAATCTACACCCATACATCAAACCACTGTTCCGGTTATCGTTAGTACCAACTGTCGGTCACTGCCTAACAAAATTCTGGATTTTCAGTCCCTGTTGTTATCCGAAACTTATCACAATACTGGTATTGTCACTCTACAAGAAACCTGGCTCCATGACTCATATGATGACAATATAGTATCTTTAAATTATTTTAATGTGTTCCGACATGATCGTGTTTGTTCCAAGAAAAAATGCGGCGGAGGTGTAGCTACATTTATTCACTCAAAATGGTCTATTTCTAACAAAGTTTGTTGCAAATTCTCGAATGACTACATTGATTGCATCACTGTCAGATGTCGCCCGAGACACTTGTCAAAATACAAATTCATTTATATTTCTAATGTTTATGTCTCTCCTGGCTGTACCATATCGGATTTATCTATGTTCGCAGATGAATTCACCGCTTTTGCTGCAGCTTGCTTCGAGAACTCTTTATCAATAGTGACTGGCGATTTTAACTCATGTGATCACTCCTTTCTTATATCACTTGGCCATGACAATATTGTTAACTTTACTACCCGTCTCGAAAAAACACTAGATCTAGTATTCATCAATGATGTTGGTATATATGAAGCTCGCAAACGTGCTCCTGTACTGAACTCTGACCACTGCATCATACGTGTACTGCCTAAAATATATTCCAAATCACACAAACGTGTTTTCTCTCACCTCTACAGTAAATTTCAACGGAGATGCTACTCACAAGACAATCTAAGCAAACTCAGATGCATGTTGATAGATACTAACTGGGACCTATTTACAGAACAAACATTAAATGACACAATCACAAACACTACAGATTATTTTAAATTCTGTTTCGAAATATGTTGTCCTAAAGAAACATTATTCACTCGATTTGACCGTTTCTCTTCTCCATATCTGAAAAAGCTACGTAGAGATAAAGAACTGTTGTTCAAAACAAATGATAAGTCAGGTGTAAAAAAGCTAAATACTCTGATAAAACTCGAAATACACAGACTAAATGTTTTATACAACCAAAGATTCTTGTCATGTAAAACCCCTTCTAGTTTGTGGAAACTTTTTAAAGAAATAACTAGCGGTAAGCGGTGTACTTCTGTCCAATCTCTTAATGTTGATAATCTTAATAAGTCTTTCATACGCTCCTCTGTCGATATCCTTCCTAATGATACAAATCACATAGACAATAATTTTAGTGGTTTTAATACCCTTGATGTGCTTAAATGTCTCCGTTCTCTTAAGCCTTCCCAAAGCCTTGGTCCTGATGGCGTACCTGCCATTGTCCTCAGGAACTGTGCTGATATTTTGTGTTACCCTCTTACTAATATTTTTAATGCTTCCTTTTCCAGTAATGTTCTACCTTCTGCATGGAAAAACAATCTTCTGGTACCGATATTAAATTTAGGCCTATTGCAATTACTTCTCCTTTTTTAAAATTGATGGAAAAACTACTTTTACTTCGTCTTGAACCTTCATTGAAAGCTTTTAATGATCCTAAGCAATTTGCATATAAACATGGTAGAAGTACCTTGGATGCTGCGGTTGTCTTATATCATAATGTTGTTTCTTGTTTAGACAAAGGTGCCAAATATGTTCGTGGTGCTTTCCTAGACTACACATCTGCGTTTGACTCTGTACCTAGGGGCCTTTTATTAAATAAGCTCTCCTTGACGCACACAGCATCCTGGGTTAAGAGTTGGTTGCATTCTTATTTTTCTGATAGAATGCAGTATACTGCATATAATGGCAAATCTTCTTCTGCTTTGCTTACAAAAGCCGGTGTTCCTCAAGGTGCCGTCCTCTCTCCTTTTCTTTTTTCTTTCTTCCTACACGACCTGCCACATTTAAACGAAACTAACTTTGTCAAATATGCTGATGATCTGACTGTATCACTGCCTATCACTTCCGAGTCTGACTGCTCCAAACTTAATAGCTTTCTGTTGGACATCAGCAAGTGGTCTAAGTCAAATGGTCTTATGTTAAATCCTTCCAAATGTCAGGCAGTTAACTTTACTTTCAAGCATCGACGTGACATACATGAACTAGTTAGTTCCCATGATGCCTGTAGCATAGATGGCACAGAAATTGAAACCAAGTCAAGCATTAAATACCTTGGATTAGTTCTTTCCTCTGACCTTTCATGGTCATCCCACATCTTATTGATCTCTAGGAAAATGTTTCGTCTTACCTTCTACATTAAAAAGTTAAGACAATCAGGTATCAACCAACCTTTAGTTCTGCAATTTTTAAACTCCTGTATTTTACCTATTGTACTCTATTGTTCTCCATTAATCTTTCCTGGGCTTCTTAAAAAAGACTATGTCATATTACGAAGGGTATTAAATGCTGTGAGTAGGGCTTGTGGTTTGCCACTGCGTGAGCTCGCCAATACTATAGTCGAGAGACACGTAAATTCCTGTACAAAGTGGGCAAAGGCCGTACTGTCAGACCCTCTGCACCCTCTTTATTCACAACTATCCCCTTGTATCTCATCAGGTAGAACGAGAAGTCAATATAAGAAATTATATGCTCGTACCACTAAGTACAAAAATTCTACAATACCGTATTTAGCCCGTATTTTATGTGATGAAGACTCTGTTAGACGTGAAACATATAAGTTACTATGTAATTAGCATAGTGAATCGACCCTTTCATTGTTCATCTTTCTGTAATTTTATGGTGTCACCCTTTCTATCGTTTAATTATAACTTTGCTATTTTTATTTTAGTTGTTATTACTATTATTACTATAATTTTATACTTTATGCGTATTTTTCTCCTTATCGTATACTGTAATTGCTACATAGCTGCTATAAAAACGTTTTGTTATCATTATATGTAATGATTATTTCGTTTATTTATTTTTTGTTGTTGTCGTTTTTGAGTAAATTAGATGCAATATTGTACTGAATGCTGAAAATTCCTTGCTGTCTCATTAGTACTGTTTTTGGAATAAAGCAAATTATTATTATTAATGTTGGAATACCCACTAAGTAAATCAACGGAAGTATACTGAGATGCACACTGAATGCCTAGTTTTTATTCACTGCTCGAATATGCTGACAGAGAGATGGAGTAGCAATGGATTCACCACCTGGTCCATTACTCACTGACTGCTTCACGGCGTACCTTGAGTCCAATGTCCTTCAGTCAACAATTAATCGTTTCAAAGTTTACAATCGCACATGGGTGATATATTTGTCATCAACGGATGAAAATACTGATCTGAACAAAATCCTGGGAATCTCTGACAACACTCATCGATCAGTCCAATTTAAAATTGAAGTGGAACCAGAAGGGAAATTATCTTTCTTATATATCCAGCTTTCAAGGAGAACAGATGAAAGTCTGAAAAAAGTCAATCTACCGTAAGGAAAAGTGAAATGGACGATTGATAGACTTTCACAGTTTTGTCCCAATACGGAGAAAAAGAAATCTCATAGCTTCTCTCGCAACATCAGTCTACTACATGTGCACTCAAGGTGCATGCAACTAGGAACTGGAATCTTTCAGAAACACCGTAATTGAGAATGTATGTCTAACCTCCTCCATCAACAAACATCTAAAGACAATAACCGATTTTCCTCGAAACCTGAATATACCAAAGAATCAACTAATTGTGAATCTGAAACTCATAGGAAATACAAATACTGAGGTCCTCTAAAGCCACCCATCGAGAACGACTTGAAGAACGTCTTTTGCTGCATCTTTACGCCTCACCTTCTCCAAATATCCTTTTGTTCACCGAAAACTTAAAGATAAGATCCCTCTTTGTAAAAATTATATTTGTGTAATCTCAGCGAAATTGCAATAAGTAATTCCAGTATTTCGTTCGGCAAACTGGTCCGGACTTCTTCAGGGGAATCAATCTAAATTAATATAACAGGGGCTTATATATAGAGGACATCTCTTGTTTCTAAACACTTTGCTCAATCATATGAGTCATGAAACAGTCATCAAAATATAATAAACAAAATTGTATAAGCTGTGATCAAAATTTGACCTCACACTTACAGACATTAGTTTACATTTGTTAAACACTTTAAACAGTGTACTTTTCATCAGAATTTTAGTAATTGCCCTCGACTAAAAGTTCATGGTCGTAGATAACTGAATATGAAAACGTGTGTATTTGCGGTGTACAATACAGTTCATAAATTTTGTTTATTATATTTTGATGACTGTTTCATGACTCATATGATTGGACAAAGTTTTTAAAAACAAGAGATGTCTTTTAAATATAAGCCTCTGTTTTGTTAATTTGGATTGATTCCCCTGAAGAAGTCCGGACCAGTTTGCCGAACGAAATATTGGAATTACTTATCGCAGTTTCGCTGAGATTACACCAATATATTTTTCACAAATGTCTACCTCTCACTCGGTGCCCAATTATTTTAGAACTATTCTGTCAAATCTTGACCACAGTTCATGTGAATAGTATCCCGCTGTTAACCAATTCAGGGCACGTTGGCTGGTTCACTTGCTCCTGTGGAGCCCAGTACATTGACCGCATCAGCAGTGCGTTCCCTAGACTCGTCCAGTGTGGCTGTGAAAAGTAGGACACAGAACAGTAGTCAGCAGTTGCGTTTTCCGGGGACATTATTACTTCAAGTCACGCGACATCGGCTGAGACTTCATCTAGGGTCATAACTCGTATGCTGAGTCAGTTTCCGAACGGGTTTTACGCATCGAATGCTCCACCAAACAGCTGTAGCCACTGCGATTCGCTTGAAACAACTGCGGATCTCAGTGCGAAAGAAACAGGTGCAGCAAATATTGCAACCTAAGTCTGCTGTCGAATCTATAAATCTGTGGATTCTGTATTACTTTCCTGAATTGGTCGATTATTTCTACGAGGTGGGATTACCAACCTCATACCCAGCCAACATTCTTTCCTTTACTTCCACTTATCCCATATTAGATAGGTTTCTTTCAAACATCACACAGCTAGAAAACACATACTCTCATTTAATCTTCTGGCCAGGCCTCCTCTGGTCCTACTCCAAAATTCCATCCTCCTAGTTACTCACGAAATATTCACTGACATCCTAGGAAGACACCTCCATCATCCTTCTGGCATTGTGGTGCTTCACATTTCATCAAATCTTGTCTATATATACAACAGAGATATCAAGACTGCAATGTTCTTGCACACAAGCATGGCTTTCTCCAGCTATCATACACAACAACATTCACCGCAACCACCTTCCAGATATCATGACACATTCCATTCTAAGCAAGAAGTTAAATTCCTTATCCGTGTAGCTGGTTCGTGCGCCCATACTACTGCCCACCGGATGCGCATTAATGCCCGTGAGAATACATATAGTTGGGAAGAATTCTACCAATGAACCAACGGACCTTCGTGTAGTATAACACATATCAACAAGACAATCAGGCCGAAATTCACATGAACAGTGTGCTTTTCAGTGTATAAGATTCAACTGGGCTACTAAACTTCATATGCAATGAAGTAGTTCAGAGGGTCAGTATTTTCCTATGCATCTTTATGCTCCCTTGAGTTCAAATGTAATGTGGAACTTCAAGGCGCTGTGAAATTCCAGTCGTAGTAGCACTATGTTTAGGGACTGACATCATCCTGAGTCTCATGCCCATCCAATCTCTGTGCGTTTTCTTACTGTGTATGATCAAAATGGAAAGAAAGAATGGTGGCCGTATCAGGTTTTCTTTTTCATTCCAGTCAGATTAATGACACTGTTTTGTTTTCTTAAAGAAATATTTCGAAACACCATTTTTCGAGATAGTTGTTCGTGCTTATTTCGAGGAAAAATAATTATTATTAATATTATTATAATAACAATAATATTAGTGGAGATTTATAGCTTTACAATGCTAGGGTATATTGTAAGACTGTTGAAATTCGCAGATCAGATAGTGTTAAATAAAAATCAAATTCGATTCCAATACATGTATCCGAATTCTAGTTCATTCGTAATCTACTCTGTGCAGGTGTGTTAGTGTGCGTGCTTGATAGCCTAGAGAAAAATATACTTCATACTGTTAGATGGAATCATAATCTAATGAACCGAATATCTCAGTCTTGTGTGAGTTATAAGAAAAACAGAGATACGAATCACTTTCAGCAGTCCCTAAACAATCCTATTTATATATATATATATATATAACAAAGAAATTATAAGATCAAACAGATAATCGTGAATTCCACCATTTCTCATCTCTCGATTCGATTAGTGGGAATACTTCCAATATCTTTGGTATTGGTGATGAGTCATTTCTATTACGTGTGTTGGGTGTAGTTTTAATGAACAAAGATCCAGTAATCAACCTGTCTCTCTCCGCTCATCTAAATTACTTCAGAAAATTGTGTGAGTATCTTTGTTAATTCCCTTCCTATCTGGCCTTTGTCATTCTTCCTTTCGCCTTTAACCCATACCACTCACCACTAGTAAGTAGTGTGAGCTATAGCTGTAACTTGTTAACCATGACTTTGTTTGCTATTCAAATGAAACTCACTTGGTGTATCAATTCGACGTGTAGTCATTATTTTCTTATGATTAAACATTATCTGGTGTATATGCCTCATTTATATACCCTTTTCTGTTAAACACTAATTATTCGTATCCCTTTATTCTTATTCCTACATTCGCGCGCTGTTTAAATCTACACCTGAATAGCCTGTGACACAGCTTTAACGTGTTTATTACTGACGCACACTGACTGTGCTTCTGACGGCATCCAACCATAGACACCTCACAATTTGAGGTTTACACATTATATTTCATCATCTTATGTTCAATATAGTACTGTATTCTACAGAAATCTCGTGTTTTTGGATTTTGTGCGTCAATCCGCGTGTGGTTCTACCAATCGTTTGGATTTGCGTGAGACATTGATGAACTTAGTGTAGCACTGTGAAACAGTCATGCAAGAGTGCCCAATGTACCGGGTTGACAAAGTGTTCGGGGGTAGAACTACTGACGATCTTCAATTTGCTTCATGCTATCCAGGTTGAACAGCGTTCCAGAATACGTTTTCAGAGTTGACAGTGTTCACGTGCGACATACTTTGCTTCACAGGAACAAGTAAACTCATACATACACAGTGAGGTGGTCAAGAGTGGTATCTTATGCCTAACGCATGGCTGGACTAACTGTCTTTTAGAGAATGTGATGTGTAAGATGGCTGCCTGAAATGTTTTCTTCAGATACTTAGACAGCCGGTTTCTAAGAATTTCTGCTTCAATGTCACCTCTGAATCCCAGGTCCATGAAGAGGGTTTCCGTAGGAATAGTAGCAGCTTTTGGCAACGCAGGTTTTACTTCACTCCTCTTTTGTCGATAAATCTGGATGCATATCCGTTTTCCAGTAGGGTGTCACTTAGAGATTTCAATTCAATCTCTATTTTACATTCTGAACAGATTTTTCGAATCCCTTAGTACCATTACCTACTAAGTTTTGCGTTCTTATTAGCAGGGCAAAGCTCTGGAAGTTAATAATCTGTCCAATCCATGCTGGCTTTCGGTATAGTGATCTTTCATAAAATGTTTCAAGAAATTATGAAGGACAGCAGTACGCAGCGGAGTGCCACAAGACACGGTACTAGAACCTCTCCTATTTATTTTGTATTTCAATAAGTTATCTCTGCTCATCGACTCCCCTATGGTCCTATACGCAGATCACTTAAAAATTTGGAGGGAGCTGAAGGGCAACAGTGACACGTCCACGTTGCAAGAGGACCTCAACAAATTGTCAGAGTGGTCCATATAATGGATGCTCCCGATAAATGTGGCAAAATGTGCAACCATGCGCATTGGACAAGCAAGTGCGAGCTCCTACGAACTAGAGGGAATTACACTTCCATCAGCTCAGACTCACTTGGACTTAGGTGTCATAGTTAGCCACGACTTAAAAACT